GGCGGCGCCCAGCGCTTCCGGTGAGCTTTTCCGGGTAGAAAGCTCACCGGAAGCACTTTTCATCAAAACAAGATGGCGGCGCCCAGCTGATGCCGGTACCGGGCCGTGGCATAAAAAAGGTTGGGGACCACTGCCCTATAGTATTCCAGACAAATGGCCGTCCAGTGTGTTCTGGAAAATCTCCAGAGATCCATCCCTTCCATTGTTTCATGTGATCATTTTGAGACAAATAACGTTGAGGGGTCCTATTTTCTTGATCCTGTTTTTCGTAACAGGATCCATGCTGAGGATTTCTCGGAGAAATCCCTACTTAGAAATCCAGTCTTTGTAAGGTAGGGTTGCCAGCTAGGTGGAGATCTATTATCTTGATTTCAACCTGAACGGCTGTGCTCGAACTGGACATTATATGATTCTTATAGCAACATGTTCATTAAAGTTTTTATTTTTATTTTATTTTAGATTTTTTTAAATCCCCCTTTTATTATTTTTAGAAATAACTCAACGTAGCGACCATCCTTCTCCTCCTCTTATTTGCCCCACAACAACAACCCTGTGAGGTAGGTTGGGCTGAGAGAAAGTGTTTTGACCTAGGCTTCCCCCAACAGCATGAGCTGAGTCCTCATCCCGATAAACCGTTTTTACAATTAATTTCCTCTCCAACGAAGTCCCGGCCAATGGTCTTTCGGGATAGTTCCCAATTACAAACCTTTATCAGGCTTGGAGAAGGACCAGGCCGATATCTTTCAGACCCTACAATACTTGGCAAGCATGCCGGAATAAACTAATTGCTTCCTGCAAAGCCCCACTCCCCATTTGCTCCTCTTTTATTCCCTATGGGAGGGGCCATTCACCTTCCACCTGTGGCTTTACTCCCAAGTCGACCCTTGTTCCTCAACTGTTCCCTTCATCTGACAACTCTGTGCATGTGCACACTGGGAACAGGCTCCAGCTGTTCTTCTGCCTCACTGATATCTTACTCCGAAGACAGCTGATAATTGTCAGATGGCCCTGGCCCCATCTCTGCCTCAGACGCAGTCAGAGCCTTCCCCCGACTCCAGGACTGGCCCATGTTCCTCCCCAACCTCCTCACTGTCCGAATCTTCTGCCAGCTCCACTGGCTGCTGTCAGGCCACAACAGAGACAGGGAGGACTTGGCCCAAAGCCCCCAAGCCAGTTTTCATGTCCAGGGCAGAACTAGAACTCCCAGTCTCCTAGTAATTGGGCCAAAGTCACTCAGACAGTTTTTATCTAGTGGGACTAGAACTCACGGGTTCAAATCAATGTTTCCTGATTTCTAGCCTGGTGCCATAACCACTCGACCAAAGTGACTGAAATACATAATATTATATAACACTATACCATGATAGTATAATGCAACACATATAGCAGTATCAGAGGACATGGGTGTGATACAAACTTAATAAATAAGTAATCTAGTTGCTGTTGCTAGGCTGAGCTAAAAACAATGAACAGAATCACATCTGTTTAGGTCCAGGATGGGAGACCACTAGGAGTTCCTGGAGCAATAGGACTGAGGGGGGGTGGGGGTGGCGCTGTCACTGCTGGAGTTGGCTGAAGGGGATAAGAAGATATCATTCCAGGCACATCTGTCTCTTGGCTGTTGCAGGGTGTGGTTTTAACACGGTTTTTAATAATGTTTTAATGTTGGCTTGTTTTCATCTTTTCTTCTCACCTTTCATAATTTCTAAGTCACTCAGAATCGCATTGTAGGGGAGACGGGCAACATAGAAATTTAATAAATAAAATAAAATAAATAAAAAGGCAAACAGATCTTGTAACAATGCCAGTAAAACAACCTGGGTCTTTGCAATGAATTCACCTGGGGTTTTGCTCCATCAAGTAGAGACCTCACCTTTATTCCCTTCCTTTTTAGCAGTTTTTTTTTTCCTTCTTGTTGTTGGTCTGCAAATTTTGGGTGTTTCCTGGAGTTGATATACACTCACAAACCAGCCTTCGAACACAAAGGGAAATGCATAACAAGACAGGAAACTTAAATTTCCTTATTAGTGGGTTGTTTTTTTTAGGGGCAGGTTTCAATTTTTTGCAAGGGGGGGGCGTCTTCCAAATCTTACACCATTATCCCTCTGTCCCCACTAAAGAGCACTTGGTTCCTGCTGCCCCCAGTTTTATGCTCTGTTAGAAAGTTTCAGGCAGAAGTTGGTGATGGCAAAGGTGATGCTGAAGAAAGGAAGAACTGAACATTACAAGCGGATCTCTTCAGTTCTAGATTAATATTTTAACCTCAAGCTGATATCCTCCAGATGTGGGGGGACTTCAGCTCCCCAAGTTCACAGCCAGGCACGCCTGGATATCAGTTTGGGGGAATTGACTGTAGTCAGCCGTCTTCACACACACGACGCTTAGCCAGATTAAAGAGATGTTGTTTCTCTACTTAGGCAACGCAGTAAGCTTGGCTTTGCGGTTTTACTCCTTGGTATGATGTCCAAACCAAGTTTATTTGATTGCAGATAGTCCTGGACTTAGGACCGTTTGTTAGAGACCATACAAAGTTACACTAATGCTGAAAAAAATGAATTACAAACAGCCCTCACACTTACGACGGTCGTAGTATCTAAATTCAAGCACTTGTCAACCAGCATGTACTTGCGATAGTTACAGGGGATCACATGATCATCATTTGTGACCTTCCTAGTTGCTTCCAACCAGCAAAGTCAATGGAGAAAGTGGATCCGCTTAATGACTGCATGATTTACTTAACAGCCATGGTGATTCGCTTAACAATCATGGCGAAAATGGTGGTAAAATTGGATGTGACTCACTTAACAGGTGCTTTGCTTAGTGATGATAATTGTGGTCCCAATAAATAAAGGTCATAAATCAAAGACTATCTGTATGTTATTGTTCAGGATATTGCATAAAACCAGAGAATGCATTAATTCAACAACCTGGTTTAGCATCTTCCATAAATGCATCTAATGCTGGAGGAAGAGGGGGATTGTTGTGGCCCGCCAGCAGAGCTGGTGGCAGACTTGGACAGTGAGGAGGTTGGGGAGGAACATGGGCCAGTCCTGGAGTCTGGGGAAGGCTCTGACGAGGGCTCTGCATCGGAGGCAGAGATGGGGCCAGGGCCATCTGACAGTTATCAGCTGCCTTCAGAATCAGACATCAGCGAGGCAGAAGACCAGCTGGAGCCTGTTCCCAGTGTGTGCATGCACAGAGCTGCCAGAAGAAGGAAACACTAAGGAACAAGGGTTGGTTTGGGAGTAAAGCCACAGGTGGACGGTGAGTGGCCCCTCCCATAGGGAATAAAAGAGGAGAGAAAGGGGAGTGGGGTTTTGCAGGAGGCAATTAGTTCATTTTGGGTGAAGATCGGTTCCTGTGTTCTTGCTAAGTATTGTGGTGTCTGAAAGATATCGGCCTGGCCACTCTCCAAGCCTGATAAAGGTCTGTAATTGTGAACTATCTTGAAAAACTGTTGGCCGGGACTTTGCCGGAGAGGAATTCACTGTACATTAAATAAAAGGGGTTCGTCAGGACGGGGATTGGGCTTCGTGCTGTTGGGGCAGCCTAGGTCAGAAGAGGGATAATCCACTTTATATCTTTCTCCCCGTTTCTTGGGGGAGGGTCTCACATTCACCTTTTTCTTCCCAGACAGCACAACTGCAGCTTGCTAAACAAAACGTCCAGGACCAGCCTGGGGTGGAAGCCAACACACAGGAGGTGCAAGAATTGAAGCACAAGTGAGTCACCAAAGCTGCGCTTGCAAAATGCAGGTCTTCTGAACGTTATTCTTAAAAATTTGTAAAGCTTTAGCTACATTCCCTAATAGAGCACTACTTGTTGCGGTTAGTTATGTGTTGTGGTGTTGTACGTTTGTAAAGGAAGGATGTACTACTCAGTTTGGACTTTAGATTGGATCGCCATTTCAATGTTGTGTTCAAGGGCCAGGGTTCAGGATGGGACAAGGCCAGAGTATTGGGTGGGGGGAGAATGAAGAAAATGCAGTACGACTTTGACTGCATTGTTTAACAGTTCACACAGACATAGTTGTGGAAATTCCTCCTCATAGTTGTGGAAATTCCTCTTTTTTTTTTTACATAACACACATATACACATGCTATATACATATATATATACATGCATACATATATGTGTGTGTGTGTGTGTGTGTATGTGTCTATTTCTAATCTATCATCTATCTATATCTTACATATATACATACACATACACAGTGGCACACACACCTACCTGTAAGGCAAAAATAATCAAGCTTGGCTAGTTATCAAGCAGCTGCCTTGAAGTTTCCTTGAACTGGGTAAGCTGGTTGTGTGAACACAATGCCTGCATTGTGATACATGGAGGAAGTGCTGTATTAGACGCAGTTTGGCTTTAGGGAGAATTGGTAAACCGAACAACGGTGGTTCCAATATGCACAATCTGATTTGCGGTACAGTCCGTGTCCCCTTTTGCATTAAGGTCGTTTTCATGCTTTAAGCCCTCCTCCCATCTTTCCCCCAAGCAGAGGAACCATTCATGCCTCTTGCACCCCCCACACCTTTCGTACTTGGGGCTGGGGGGGGGGAGGAAACCGATTCCCATCATTGGCACTTTCAAAGCATCCGAGCTGAATTTCCCACAATGCTGAGCGGCGCACGGCATCGTGGGAAAACTCCCCCACTTCTCAAAGCAGGGACACCCTTTGGGGAAGAAAAACCCCTTCTGGGAACGCCAGAGTCACAATTTTTGCCCCAAAACGGGTCCCGTCCCCTCACGAATCAGGGCAGGGGTAAACCCAAGCCAATTTGAAGCGAGGGTGTGGGAATATTCCCCCCTTTTTTTTGGAGTGGGGGGTCTCAAAAAGGCCTCGGCAAGGGTCTTCAAAGGATGTATTCTATCCCCCCCCCCCCCCCCCCCCCCCCCCCGCCCCCCCCCCCTCTTCCCCCCGTTCCCCCTTCGCCCCTTGGCACCCAACCCCCCCCCCCCCCCCCCGCTGCACACACACACACACACACACACACCAGCCAGCCAGCCCATCCCGGCCCTGGGGTTGCCCCTTTGGTAGGCTTTCATAAACAAGGCTGGGCTGCAAGGGGCGCGGGTGAGCGCGGCTAATCGGCTCCATATGGCGCTTTATTTATCGTTTCCATCCGGCTCACGCAGGCTAATTCAAACCATCGAAGCAATCAGCGAAATTCTTCAGGATTTCAAGTACGATTCGGAAGAAAGCAGTTGACAGGCCGTCCCGTGGGAGGAGGAGGAAGAAAGGCTGGGGGTGGAGAAGGGGGGGGGGGGGGGGGGCACGGTAGGTCGGGCCCCCCCCCCCCCCCCCCCCCCCCCCACACACACACCTCCGGGCTAAAGGTTGGTCCTCGCTGGCCCACCCCAGCTTCCTTCTTTCGTCGTGCCAGGCTGATGCCCAGATGCCGCAAGAGGCGCATGGCTCGATGCTGCTTGGCCACCTGCCCAACGGAGCCAGTTCTCAGGAAGATTTCTTGGCCCTTGGTCTCGATTTGCCTTCATGGGACGAGGAGGGGAGGGGAATAAGCTTGTTTACGTTCTGAAATAAAGTGGGTTGTGTTTTTTTTAATCCCCTTCAATTAAAGAAAACAGACTCCTTTTTTTTTTTTAACTTGTCTCTCCCTCTTTTTATTCTCTTGAGCGGACCAGACGTTTTCTTGTTCAATTAGATCCAGATGGGCATCCATTGGGAGGGAGGGAGGAGGGCAAAAAAGTCACAATGGCAGCCCCCAGGGCCTGTAGTTGCAAACCTCATCTTTCATCATGCTACTTTCCCCTCCCGGACCGAAATCTAAACCTCTCTTACAAGGGATTAAGAAAACTGGGTTTGGAGGGGAAGCACTTCGGCATTTTAAACATTTTTAAATGCTAATCTTGCCTGACAAGGATATTCCTATCACCCCACCCCAATTCTTGACTGTAATCCTAAACTGTCGTGGCTAGTCCCAGACACCCCCCAGCACAGGGCTTTCCATGATACTTATAAGTAGTCCTCGATTTACGACCACAATTGAGCCCAACTTTTCTGTTGTTAAGTGAGTTATTTGTTGAGTTTTGCTGCCTGCGTTTTACAGCTTGCAGTTCACTGCACTTTATAAATTAGTAACTTGGTTGTTAAGTGTTGATTTTGCTTGGCAAAAGGTCCCAAAAGGGGAATTGTGTGACCCTCCGGGACACTGCAATGGTCAGTTCAGTTGCCAAGTATCTGAATTTTGATTATATGAGCATGGGAATTCTGCAAAGGTTGTGAGAAAAATGGGCATAAGTCCCCTTTTCAGGGCCGTTGTAACTTTGAACGGTCACTCAATGAACTGTTGTAAGTCGAGGACTGCCTGTACAGGGTACTACTTGACTTACGACCACTATTAAACCCAAAGTTTCTGTCGCTAGTGAGACAGTTGTTAAGTGAGTTTTACCTCATTTTATGACCTTTCTGGCCACAATTGTGTTAAGGGAGTCACTCGTTAGTAAATACAGTTGTCGAATGAATCTGGCTTCCCGATTGACTTGCTTGTCAGAAGTTTGCAAACTGTGATCACATGACACCAGGACAATACAACTGTCGTAAGTACATGCCAGTTGCCAAGCATCTGAATTTAGGTCACATGACCACGGGGATGCTGCAATGGTTGCAAAGGTGAAAAATGGTCATAAGTAATTTTTTTCACTGCCATTGTAACTTGTCATTAAGTGAACTTTTGTAAGTCAAGGACTACCTGTACAATCTCCATCTCCCCCACTACCACCAATTAGGGCCATGTTGGTTGAAAATGGCAGTATTTGTAAACAATGAGGGAAATTAGAAGAGGCCAGTCTTTTCTAAATGCCATAAAAATGAAAGAGGCCATAGCTTGCCTCTCTTAGTTATGTGAGCCAAAATGGTCAGTGGCATGTTACCTTTGAATAATTGCAGAAAGCAACAACAAATGGGTTTGTGGTCTTTGCCCAACTGTTTGCCTTTAATGCTGTTGGAAACAAAGATGCTGGTTTCATCTTCTTTGAACGACCCCATAATAATCCCTTGCGGGGTGGAGTCTGGATAACTGAATGGAACTGAGTGTTTTACGGGCCGGATGCCCTTCCTGACGCCAATGTGGAGTTTTGTTCAGCAGATTATATTCTCATTGTGCCCAGAGAGAGAAATATTTGCCTCTACCTAGGATCGAACTCACAGTCCGCTGATTGTGGCACTAATAGTCCACTTTTAGACCACCACAACACTAAACAAAGATGCTGGTTTAGCCCAATTAAAAGGAGAGGCAGGTAACATCAGTTCAGAAGATGGGTTCTGCTCTGGGTGCAAAACCTCCCGGATTTACAGAGGGGAAAAAAGCAGCCTAAATCACAGCTTCGGACATAAAACAGGTATTGAACAGTTGATATTTTTAACAACAAGAGCACATAAAAAAAGAAAAAAATCTATGAAATTTCACAACCAATTTTGCTGTTCTTTCCTTTGGGGGACTTTGGAGGTTAAATGTAAACCCGTTTCTTTTTTCCTGATTGCACAGATCGTTCCTTTAGCTGTTTCCGCTTTTCAATCCGTTGCCGATTCCAATTTCATAACGGAGGAGTAGAAGAAGAAAATGATTCTACTGAAGCAACAAAACCTCTTTATAGCGGGCTTAGAGGGAAAAATGTGGATATTCAGACTTTTTTTTTTTAATCTTGACACTGTTAAAAAAAAAAAAAAGGCTGGCACGAAGAGCTCCTTCCCCAGCAAAATGTCCTTCACTTAGGGGGAACTTCTTTATATACTAATTAGAAAACTTGAAAGTCCAACTCAGCGGAAAAACATCGTACGTGAGAAGCCGGTTTAGAGTTACTCTGGGGGAAGAGGCGTTGACGGCCTTCTGCCCAGCTTCTAGCCAGTTTGCAGAAAGGGTGTGTGTTAGTGGTGGTGAAACCACCTTGGCAATGGCGCTCGAGGCACCTGGATTTATGGCTGCTCTTGAGTTCCTTTGTGTGCATCCTTGGCAGGCCTGAATCCAGCCACCGGGTTGGCGCTTAAGTGAAACTCCTGGTTCCACCATCCATCAAAGCTACAATTTGTCACTGGACAGGACCTGGTGAGAAAACAGATGGTTAAAACCAGATATGGCCAGCAGTGGCTCCATAGCATTCCCCCACTTCCTCAATTGACAAATCTTCATCCCTATTTATTAGCACAATTATTTGTAGACCATTGACCTCTATAAGAGACTAGACAGTCATTTGTCTGAAATGGTATAGGTTCTCCTGCTTGAGGAGGGAGCTGGACTAGAAGACCTCCAAGATCCCTTCCAGATTGTATTCTATTCTTCTTTTCTCTTCTCTTCTTCTTTTCTTCTATTCATTCTATTCTATTCATTCTATTCTTTCTCTTCTCTTCATTCTCTTCTATATTTATCTCTATTCTTATTCTATTCTACTCATTCTAATTCTATTTTTGTATTCTTTTATTACTTCTCTTCATTCTCTTCTCTTCATTCTCTTCTAATTCTACTATTCTATTCTACATTTATCTCTATTCTATTCTAGTCTTTATTATTATTCTCTTCTATTCTACATTTATCTTCTATTCTATTCTATTCTATTCTATTCTATTCTATTCTATTCTATTCCTTATTATTATTCTATTCTATTCTATTCTACATTTATCTATATTCTATTCTTTATTATTATTCTATTCTACATTTATCTATATTCTATTCTATTCTTTATTATTATTATTCTATTCTATAGTCTATATTCTATTCTGTTCTGTTCTAGTTAAAAGCAATTTCTGGTTTTCATACGTCCCCCATTTTGGTGAATCGTGGGCCTGTCCCTACCTCTCAGACCAACCCACGTCACAGGATTGTCATGCTGGGGAAAATAGGTGCATAGGTAGTCCTTGACTTACAACCCCATCCATTTAGTGACTGTTCAAAGTTACAATGGCACTGAAAAAAGTGACATGACCATTTTTTACACTGTTGCAGCAACCCCACGGTTACGTGATCAAAATTCACCTTTTTGGCGATTGGTTCATATTTATGACGGTTGCAGGGTCCTGGGATCACGTGATTCCCCTTTTGCGAACTTCTGACAAGCAAAGTCAATGGGGGAAGCTGGAGCCACTTAACCGTGTTACTAACTTAACAACTGCAGTGACTCAGTTAACAGCTGTGGCAAGAAAAGTCATAAAACGAAGCAAAACAACCTCTGCCTCGCTTAAGCAACAGAAATTTTGGGCTCGGTTGCTATTATAAGTCGAGGACTACCCATATTAGGTATAGTTCACCTTCTTGAGTTGACCAAAAATACTTTTATTTTAAAATGGGATAAGAATCTAATGTAATAATATGTAAACCAATGAGTCTTTTCATTGAAAATTAAAGAATTTGAAAACGCCTTTTTACAAAGCTGTCTCCTGAGTACTATAAATGAAAAAGGACAGAATTTGCAGCTGTAAGATCAAGTTCTGCCTACAGTTTGAGCATCGCCTTCTTTTTAATGTGAGGTAAATTCTCTATTAATCTATAAGATTCTAGTCCAGAGGTGGTATTCAGCCAGTTCTGACAGGTTCTGGAGAACCGGTAGCGGAAATTTTGAGTAGTTCAGAGAACCAGCAAATACCACCTCTGACTGGCCCTGCCCCCATCTCTTCTCTGCCTCCCATTGAGTACCAGCTAATCGACTGGGTCTTCTTTGGTTGCCCTGCATGGGAGAACGGAGCTGGAAAGCAGGTTAGTGGGGTGGGGAGGGAATGGAGATTTTGCAGTAACCTTCCCCTGCCACACCCACCAAGCCATGCCCATCAAGCTCACCACGTCCACCAAGCCATACCCATCAAGCTCACTACGTCCACCAAGCCACGCCCATAGAACCAGTAGTAAAATTTGAATGCCATCACTGTTCTAGTCCTCAATAATTTTCAGTACTCAGCCTAGTCAACTCAATTTCCATCTAGCTCTCTCTAAATAGGTAAGTCATCACTTGGAGGCAGTGAGTGGCTCTACGCCCATCCTGGTACAGACTGGATGATTTCCCCCTGCTTTTCAGTCAAAACTCAGGTGTCCTTTTCTACCTGGTTGCGTGTTTTGTGGGACTTCTGTAGTGCCACCCGCCACTGATCATACATTTTGATGCTCAAATTGGCACAAGTCCCGTGTTTCCGCATCCATCCAAAGAACTGCTTGAGCTCTCGCCGTAGCGTATTGTTGTGTTCTCCATTCTTGGGTTCACAAACTCCCGGGGTCCGTCCTGAAAGAGAGGAAGCGAAGACTGACAAGGGATATTCTGCCAGGGGTGAAGGGAATAACAAAACTCTTAACCTTTGAATGCTAGAGGAGAAAGAAGAGGAAAAGGTGAAGAAGAGGAGGAGAGGAGGAAGAAGAGAAGAACACAAGAAGAAAAGGGAGAGGAAGAAGAAGAGGAGAAGGAGAAAAAAGGAAGAAAAGAGGAGAAAACAAAGCAAAGAAAAAGGAGAGGAAGCAGAGAA